ACTAAAGGTGACACCGAACGATGCAACACTACCACAACACACAACCCCAAGATAGTGCCAATTCGTGTGGTCATACATGAAGTAACGACATTACGATCGAGTATCGCCTTGTTCATAACCTACTTTTCTTTCCGTCTCATTTCCGACTTTATCCGAGACATTAACGAACATATACCGACTTTTAAATTAAAACACTCTAATTTCTAAAGCCTTAAAAATATTGAATAGATCTTTATCTTATCCTAAAAAAATTCTAAAGGTTGTTATATTCTTATTCTTTGAAAATGTTCTATATATAAAATGAAAAAGTTATAAATCCGAACATTTGTCGAGAATTGATTTTTCCGTCTAGTCAGCGGCTGTGTTCATCGTACCGGAGTGTCTGATGAAATCGAAGGAAGGAAGATTAGAACCAAGAATAACATGGTTTCACATTTAACACAAGACTTTGAGAAGCTTATTCTTGAAGAAATTGAGAATACTGGTAAACTAAATACTTATGAATTCGCTAAAGATCTGCAGAGAGACCATCAGCTGATTGTAGGAGCGGTAAAAAGTATCCAATCTGTAGGAGAAGTGAGTACAGTTAAAATCATTTATATTCACGTGCTGTTTTTTATCGAAATCCACTTATATTTTTCCTTATGATCATTTATTGACATTTGTTGTTGCTGTCAATAAGTGGACAATGTTAGTAAAAAATGCATTACCTTTGATCAAACTTGATTACAAGGTCAGATTTTATTACTTTTGTACCAAATGTTTTCTTAAAAAATATGTTGTAATAATAGATATAAGGGATTTCAATATTCATATCATTTGGGTGTGAGTGTGTGTGGCAGGGGGAGGGAGAGGGGAGGGAGGGAGAGGGGGAGTGGGGTGGGGGACACATGTGAAAGAGGGACATGGATGGGTCATCTGAGACAGATCAGCCTCTTGTTGCAAAAGCCTTAATAGGTTTTGTTATTTTCAGGTAATCAGTACAGAACAACGGCAAGATGATAGACTTGTCCTGACTGATGAAGGAATTCAAGTAGTAGATAATGGAAGCCATGAAGCTGTTCTTTTCAATTGTATCCCTGCTGAGGGCTTGCCACAAGCTGACATCAAGGTAAAATAAAAGTAGAATACCAATGATTCCGTGATAAAGCAATAGCCACCTCAATTTTTTGACCAATCAAGGTAGTGGTAGTGGACCTCTAGTGTCTAAGGTTTGATTCTCAGACTCAGAATCACATGATCATTAGAGAGGTGTCTTCTTAATTTGAGGGGTTTTCTCCAGAATATCCAGTATTTTCTCCCTTAATGAAACTTAACAAGAAAAATTCTTTCAATTCAATCTGTAAGTTAGCCATGCCCTGACTTATATATATATTGTAAATATATAAATATATAATGACTTTAATAAATTAGTAATTTTCATATCCCTTTTACTTGTACCACTAGATAATCACTTTTTAGCCTGCCTGTTATTTGTCATCATAGAAACTAGGTCCTAATGCATCCATTGGATTCAGTAAGGCTATGTCTTCAGGATGGTTGAAAATTGACAAAAATGCCGAAGGAGGACCAAGAGTATATAGAAAGGTATTAAACTAATTAGAGTCCACTTACGATGGTATATATGTAGTCCCATAGACAATGGAATGGTTGCAGAAGATAACCAAACTCAGTTGAAACCACATGTACAGTTGTACATGTATGTGTAAAATGACTGTTTTTGAATTAGTCAAATACCACTGTGTTCCTTGTATTACAGACTCTTTTTCAAATTGTCAAAACATTCAGCAATATTCACCAATGGAAAAGTAAATAATGCACAACTTCAACTATACAAACACTTTGAAATTCAACGGACCTTCACTGGAATGGATGAATACTGAAAATAATTCCAAACCAAATCAAGGCCAACCCTGTGTGACTGAGAAATTTGAAACTGGGATATTGTAGATGTAATATCCTGGCTAAAAGATTTTATTTACTGTATTACTTAATAGGTGGAAACCATTGAAGACAATGTACAGAATTCCTTGGTAGAAATCCTTAACCATGACTACAAAAACATTTCTGATGCTAAGATCAAAGAACTGAAAAAGAGAAAGTTAGTTACAACACAGTAAGTATGTGTACACTATTGGTTAGATGGTAATCATAATTGAATGGGACCACAAAATCAGTGTTATTAATAAGGTGTCAGGGGATTATTTAAAAGACCTTATAACAATATGACTACTAACTCGTGCTCTTCTACTAGGGTTATTAAGAGTTTTGATGTTACAAAAGGAAGTAATTTCAGTTTATCTGTTCACCGACTTGAAGCAGATTTGACAGCAGATTTATTAACGAGGTAACTAGACACTACTTTCCTGCAGTTTTAAACCCTTTTAAAGAAATCTGTTGAATCTGTTACTTTCCTTCTTGAAGTGGATTATGGAAAACTCTAAGTTTCAAGCCTTACAACTTTGATGCTCTGGGTGCAACTCTTCCATCTGGCCATCTTCACCCCTTAATGAAGGTCAGATCACAGTTCAGGCAAATATTTTTGGAGATGGGGTGAGTATTCACAATATATCCATCGTAATGAAGAAAATTCTCTACATTTGCCAGGAAAACAAGTTTTCTGTTTGGTAAAAGTGGAAAACACCCACATTTAGCTTGTAACTATTTGTCATGGAACAGTTAATTAGTTTACATCACAATGATGCATGGAATGGTTTTGTCCCATCAATTCAATGGCATAGTCATGCATAATATATCAAGCAGTTGTAAAACTTGTGATTTATGGTCACAGGGGCAGATCCAGGGGAGGGGTGCAGGGGGTGTGCACCCCTCCATTGTTCCACTTTGTGCCCCTACTTCGAAGATATCCAATACTATTTTTTCCCTTTGATTCTAAGGGGTGTGCCCCTCCCTGGGTTAACTTTGTGTGCAGCACCCCTCCCTTAACAAAATCCTGGATCCGCCCCTGGGTCAGTATAGGGTAGTCAGTTTGTTCCCTGTTGGATGACATGTGGTTTGGGGTTGCCATAATTCACCATAATTCTAAATTTTTCCAAGGTTCACAGAGATGCCAACCAATAACTTTGTTGAGAGTTCCTTCTGGAATTTTGACACATTGTTTCAACCGCAACAGCATCCTGCGAGAGACCAACATGACACCTTCTTCCTTTCAGGTATATTTTCTCCTCATCTGATTTACTCATTCAGGGACATTGCTTCATCAGTTATGAGTGGAAGGGAGAAACATGGGCGGATCCAGGGATCTAGGAAGGGGGAGATTCAGCTCTACCTCTGACCGTACAAAATGAAACCAGTGGAGATGTGGGGGCAATCTACCAAGGAAAATTTGAATAAATATTTGTTTTCAAAATGCTTTTTTTTGTTGTCATTCTGGGGATATTTTGGACAAGAAAAGAAAACTAACAAAATTAATGTCAAACTAAAAGTGGGGGTGTGGGCGAGTCCCCACTAAATCTATCCAAAGGAAAGAATAAGATAGCTAAATTTTCACTTTTGATGTAAAAATTTTATGTTGTTGTTTCTCAGATCCTGAATTTGCAAAACTGGAAGAGATTCCTGCATCGTACATTGAGGGAGTTAAAGACATTCACGAACATGGTGGTTTTGGATCACAAGGGTAAATTATCATTTCTTACAAAATAATAAAATTGGTTTTGAATTAAGATTGCAGGCTTCCAGAAAACATTCCTTATATCCCCCATGGAGGCACCCTACCTCTGGTGGCACCCTACCTCTGGGGAGTAAGGGTGGAGGAAGTAGTAACGTAGATACATTTTTTTAAAGGGAGAGGCATGATTGTTTTCTGAAACTACAGTCTTTATCTTTCCAGATATCAATATGATTGGAAAATTATCGAAGCCAAAAAGAACTTATTACGAACTCATACAACCGCTGTGAGCTCCCGAATGCTGTACAAACTAGCACAACAGGTACGTGGTAGAAGTACACTTAAATACAACCATCAACACCCGTAAGGGGCTCTTCCGTTAGGCTCGCTCCGCGCGCACACACACACGCAGTACCACTAAAACTACGTTTTTCTGTACAACACTCAACTCACATGTTGATTTTCAAGAAGGAAAGAAAATCGGAGAAACACTTTCATGGCAAAGGAGAGAAAAACACACCAAACAAACTCAACTCAAACATGCGTTTCTTTCGAGAATCCAACCCACTAACCCAGACATGAAGTACTGACACTGTGGTAAAAGACAGCGCTGTAGCAGCGCATGCAACACTAATGAAGTACAACTAGTTGAAGTACAAAAAAATTAAACACCGATTTGGAGCAGGTAACCGAGGAATAGGAAAAAGTCTCGCGTATTTCAATTATAGCCATTAATTTCTCTCATTTTCAGGAAACGTTCACTCCTGCAAAGTTCTTCTCCATTGACCGCGTGTTTCGTAACGAGACTCTAGATGCTACTCATCTTGCTGAGTTCCATCAGATCGAGGGTTTGGTGGCAGATCGCAATATCACTCTCGGTGATCTGATTGGAACATTGTATGAGTTCTTTAAGAAACTAGGTAAGCTCCTATTGGCCTGGTACAACTGGATTAGTGACTAGATTAACTGCTTGCTATGGAACCAGATGACACTGATCGGGGGGGGGGGGGTGTGGAGGTAAACTAGCGTGCGCCCTTAGTCCTACTAAATCGTAACGAAACACCGACGTTCAATATAGTAACTCTTCAACTACTTTTAGAATGTTAGTTCATCCAAAGAATAATGTATTTTTGCAGGTATCAAGAAGCTGCGCTTCAAGCCTGCTTTCAACCCCTACACTGAACCAAGTATGGAGGTATTCAGCTATCATGAAGGTACGCACAAAGACCATTGCCAAGTAGTGTTTCCTTTTAAAGACATTTAGTACTGCTTGTCTTGGCCTCACGACTCATGGAATTTTATGTTTCTAGGTCTAAAGAAGTGGGTTGAAGTAGGTAATTCGGGTGTTTTCAGACCAGAAATGTTGCGGCCAATGGGACTGCCCGAAGATGTATCTGTCATTGCGTGGGGACTGTCGCTAGAGAGGTTAGTACACCCTCTAATATCCCATGCGGCCATTGGGGAAGTAATATTACTATCGCTGGAAGGAAATGTTTTACTCTCATGAGGGAAGGGGAAGGGATTGGGTGAACGTGTTATCACGAGGGGAGGTATAATACTGTAGAGGGGATATCATTTAATTGTATCATGTCTTTTTCCTTCAGACCCACCATGATTAAGTACGGTATTTCCAACATCAGGGACCTTATCGGTCACAAAGTGGATCTGAACATGGTCTACAACAATCCTATATGTGTACTGGAAGCTTAGGAATCGCAGACGGACTGCAAAACTGTAGAATCGATCGATGATTATCCTTAGTCCATGCTAATACTTCTATAGCACACCGATCAATCCTATATGTATTCTGGAAACTTAGAAATGGAAGCCCTTGTCCATGGTTATACTACCATAGTACACCGATCAATCTTATTTGTATACTGGAAGCTTAGAAATGGAAGCCCTAGTCCATGGTTATACTACTATAGTGCACCGATCAATCCTATATGTATACTGGAAGCTAAGAAATGGAAATCGGACTTCAGTACTGTAGAATTGATCGATGATTATCCCTAGTCCATGGTCATAGTCTACACCGTTAATTGATATTATAAGGATGTATGATGTTAACAATAAACTATTTTAAATGCTAGTTGTCTTTTGAAACTGATACTGTGTGCATATGCATCTTACATCAAATTATCGCTAGTTTTACGTCTTCTCGTTCAGAGTAGAAATAAAACTAGAAAAGCTCAATTTATTTTGTGAAAAAAGACGCGCTATAGGTGTTAATTGGATTGCCTGTATCATGCACAGAACAGCTGAAGAAGTTTGTAATGTTAGTCAAAAGATAATGGAATGTTTCACGGCACCATCAACTAGTCCTTTGCAGGCATATGATATAGAGATTCAAATGCAGAAAAAGTTCTTGTCAACAAACTGCCAGGAAATATAGGAAAGCATAGCTCTACTTTTCGCGGATCGATATTGCTTATATGACTGATAACATCTGATCGAACTTAAACAGACTTATAAGCAACCGAATAGGAATAATTTTTTTTAATTGCCTTATTGTTGAAAATTTAAATATAATAAAAATGGATTAAAAAAGAAAAAGAAAAAAAGAAAAATATGGATAAGGTGGGATTCGAACCCACCAAAAGAAATTCAAGAAATACGATTCCACTTTGCCATACCCCCGAGACATCCGCAGAGCTGAGGCGKCGTATGGACTTCGGACCTGACGGCGATTAAATCCTTCTGCCCTTGGGTGYACGAATTACGCAAGAAAATGTTCTAGCCGAAGCATCAGGGGAGAGACCAGCCGGCCCCCAGACCATATCGGCTGACCCCTTGCATCTCTGCCACGCACGGAATCGGTTGAAAAAATAAAGTTAAAAAATCTAGTCTTTTCCGTGCATTGTTTCCACGGCTATTGTTATGCTGATTCACCTGGAACCGTGGCCCAGTGGGTAAATCGTTGTCGTTCAATATACCGAGTCAAGCTCGTCTGAGGAGGATTAGCATTAGATTTTTTTTTCGTTATTCTCTTTTGATTTTCAAAATAATAGAATAGTGAAACTTTTATAGTTTTGAGTAACCTATTTCTGTCTACCCATATCCGTCAAATTGAAATCTAGCAGAAGAAAATCCCTGGAACAAAAACAAGAAACTTCAGCCATTTTGTATTCTCATAAATGATAGATCAAAAATAATAGTTCCGATAGTGATGAAAGAAAGTACTAGAGAAAGGATAAAATGAAAGTAAATTTCATTTCTTTAGCTTTACAGTTGCAGTCTTAGGATAAAAGATAGTTGTATGTATTTATTCTTTTTCTGGTTTGTTAAAACTGCATTTTTGAAAAACAATTGTGTCTCGATTACTTCTGTTGTAAATCTTTTTATAAAAGTTAAAAAAGTTAATATTACCAAACGTGCTTCTCGGTCCCAGTGATGAGCTCTGGAGAAATCCCGTTCGCGGTTTCTCGATTGACCTAAAATCAGAAAACGCAAACAAACCCTAGGGGCGTATCCAAGAGGGCTCGTCCAAACCCCCCTCCACCTAAATGAGAAGTAAGAACCCTCTTTTTAGGCCATCTCGATGTTATTGAAAAACCTTAAGAGACATTAACGAACCCCACTGAGATACGAACTGACCATCCTGTTTTATCCGAACAGACAGCAGGACTCGCTATAGTTATGGTATCCCTGTGGTACGACGTGTCACTGCGCATAGTCAGTAGAAAGCAATTATCCAAGATGGCGGACGATAGCGAAAAGAAAGGACTGATTGATATCCAGGTAAAAATACGTGATAAATACTCTGTTTTACCATTATTCTCTTTCTCTTTTGATTGATAAGATAGTGTCGGCTTTGCTGTGTCGGACTTAAGAATACATACTCCAGGAAATAGAAAATGTAACCATTTCTATCATGGTTTTCATGCGTAGTTTCAGCTGTTTTTTATCCAAAAAAGATCAAACAAATTATCTTGTAAAGTCATAAAAGATCGTTTGTTAAAGTATAGAATTATAAACGTAGATGAATCTATACTAAGACAGTTTACATTTTCGTTTACCATTTCAACTTCTGTTTTTCAAGATGGACGATGATGATGAAGAAGATACGGAGATAGACACATTCAGTTTTCGAGGTTAGCGTAATTGTGTTTTTGATGTTGTTGCAGCCGGATGTTGCTGCTACTGCTGCTGCTGCTGCTGCTGCTGCTGCTGCTGCTGCTGCTGCTGCTGCTGCTGCTGCTGCTGCTGCTGCTGCTGTTATTATTATTGCTGTTGTCGTTATTGATGCTGCTGTTGTTTTTAGTATCATAATGGTACAGTAGTTGATGTTGTTAATCATGTCGTCCTAAATTGCAATTACCATTGAGATTACCTTGTCAATATTGCTCTTGATAAATAGTAAATTCCAATTTCCATTTTTTGTCTCTTTCTTCTTGTGTTCATTCATTTACAAAGATTTTCACAAAGATCCAGAAGCACATGGTGTTGGTGCAATAGGTGACACAGGTTCTATTAACACAGCTTCCACTACAACAGGGACAACTATACCAACCCATTCTATTGGGGATAGTGATGGTAAGCATAAGTCAATCAAAGATTGTATTATAATTACCAAAGCAGCAGGATAGGACCTAACAGATAAAAGCCATTCCATACTGTGTATACAGTAAGAAAATGTTGAATACTGCGTACTGAATAGTGCATAATGAATAGCAAATCATGTCATGATGTATCCAAGATATTCTATTTTATGTAACTACAGAATGGTTTTATTGACATTTTAGCATAATTCTATGCCTGCGTTGTGCTATTCAGTATGCAGTATTCACCATACAGCATTCAACATTTCTTGAAATAGCTGTATATAATTTGTGTATAAGTACCATATGTTTCCCACTCATCCAAACTCATTTGATCTATTTTTATTTATTCCATGTTGAGAAGATGAAGGAGACAAAACAGAGGTTGGTTCAAAGTGCCACAGCAGCTCTGCCCTTTAGTCAATCTTTCAGTCAGTCTTATTTCTTGATTATGTCGTTTTTCAGTTATTGGGAGAAAGAAAATCTCCTCCATTCTGGACGTTTGAATATTATCAAGGATTCTTTGATGTTGACACTATGCAGGTTAGGTTAAGACTAAAATCTTTTTTGACTCACGTAGAACAAAGAAGATTTTATCAATTACTTTAGAAGGATCAATATTTAAGAATCATATCTCTGATAGAGCCTCCTCTGTAGGCAACTCTTTGGGCTTCCTTTGGTTGGGTAAGCTACAGAGCAGGCTTCCTTTGGCATAGAACTGTGGAGGGGACTGAGGACGAAAAAGTGTTCTCAGACTCCTATATATAGAGAGGGAGACAGATTCAGAGAAATGCCTGTAAAGGAGGATTTCTCTGATAGGTAAATAATTCTTTTTTTCAGGTTGTGCGAAGAATAATTGGATCAATGGTTCCATCTTACAGAAAAAATTTCCTTGTCTCACAAATCAGACCCAACCCAGACTTGTATGGTAAGGTGTTACAATATTTCCACATAATCCAAGAAGGTGGATAGGATTATTCTTATGCTGTGTGCTGTGTTTTCAGGTCCATTTTGGGTGTGTGCTACTTTGGTTTTCACGACAGCTATTTCTGGTAATCTTGCCAGCTACTTGGCAACTACTGGTGACCATGAATGGGTCTATGACTTCCATAAAGGTGTGCTGAATTTTAAAACTAATCAAGAACTCATAGAAAGCTTATGTACATATCCTGCAATGATAAAATATCATTCTATGTCAGGTAACCAGGTCAATTTTTGGCATATTCTACACTAACACATGACATATTGTGTTTTTAATTGAAGTGACGCTAGCGGCAGGAGCTATATACACCTATGCATTCCTCATACCCACAGCATTATGGGGATTACTGATGTGGAGAAGAAGCAATGCTGGATACTCATTTCTGGAGATCCTCTGTGTTTATGGGTACTCTCTTTCTATTTACATACCCATATCAGTAAGTGCTAAAAACTAACATCTACAAACACAGGGGCAGATCCAGGAGTGGTAAAGGGGTTGACTTGTCACCCCCCTTTTGCTCAAATTTCTTAGTATATTGTTAGTAACAGTCACCCCCCTTTTCTTTAAATTCCTGGTAAAACCTTTTTAATGGTCACCCCCTTCTTCCTGGATCAGCCCCTCAAACACTTATTTCATAGAATATTGTACACGGTACTTAAAGTCTGTTACTGGTTTTAGGGTCGTCACGTTATACTCTTTAGGCAAGAGAGTGCATAGCTTGACAACTCTAAAAGAGGCTACTGCAAAGCACATGATTGTTTGGCTTGAGAGGGGTATTTTTTGCTATTTTTAAAAACCTTTTTACCTGACTGATTTAGAAACCAATACAAAGGATTAAATAGATTGATCTTACAAATACTTAAACTAAACCTGACCTAACAAAGAGGGGGGGGGGGGGGGGGTTGAGGTTGTAAAACAAAATGTAGTGGTCATAGAATATCTTAGACTAAGGTTTTCAGCATATCCTGAATTCCTTGTTTCCTGAATCTTCATGCAGCCGGTGTAGTGACAGTCTTGTAATTGTATTTTGCATGCCTTATGATGTATTTTTATTGTAGATATTATGGACGATACCTTTTGACTGGCTAAGATGGATCTTTGTAGTGATTGGAATGGTCCTGTCTGGTAAGAAACTTAATAAAATATGACACAGACTGTTTGCATCTTTAGAAACTGTTGCTGCACAACGGTCAGGTGACGGTGGGCTGTTGATGGAGTAACAATGGGATGTCAACAGGGCATTTAGGGCACTATTCACGCAAACTACAATTTCACAACAAACATTGTCTTGTATCTGCTTCTCATCTGGCAAGGAAACGAAATGAATATTGAATATATGATTTTTCATCTTCCCTTTCATTTACAGGGTCAGTTTTGCTTCTCACATTTTGGCCAGCTGTAGAGGATGACGACAAGAAGGTAGTAATAAAACGTTTGTATAAGATTCAGCTGCATGTTGGTCCTCTGCAACATGATCGTAGAATGTAGTGGTAGTGCGTGTGGAGGGAACCTCATGGAAGAGACCCATATGGGAAGTGGAGGTTGTAAAATATAAGTTCAAGTTATAAGTTATGGTACGTGTAGATCCAGGTTGTTACCTGGAAAGCCATTGTTCAGATAGTTTACTTTGATTCTCTTTAGATATTACTTTAAATCCGCTCCCTCCTCAGATAAACCAAACTCATTCCATGTTACTACAGTCTTTGTCATCGCATTCTTTAATAAAAGGTTTCTGTTATAGTGAGTAATTGTTTTATTAATCTTTCCCACAGATTGCTATGCCAACTATGCTTTTTATATTTATCCTCCATGGCCTTCTTGCTATTGGTTTCAAGGTGAGTAAAGTTGTACAAAGCAGAACCACCCTGAAAGGATCTATCAACAGCTAGAAAACCCTTACTTACATGCTAAACAAGGTTTATTTGTGCCTTCTTGTTATTATAAATTATATGTTTGAGGAATGTACTCCAGTAACACCATCAACATTTGTTTCATTTTAGCTTTACTTCTTTCATGGACCAGCAGAGCTACGACTAACACCAACAACTTCCACACCAACATTTATAACATCAACAACTCCTACAACTCCTATTACTATTCTAACAGCTTAATAACCTGATGGTTTGCAGCAGCATTTCCTAGGATCCCAGTGGGAAAACCACTTTTAAGGCCGATTTACACGGTAAGATTTTTCCTCACGACTGCCGCGCGTGACAGGCTAAAGCTAAGTTTTAGCTGCTATTTACAGTCGTAAGCGAGTTGTACGATGGAATTACGTGAAGCAATTCGTGTCTTCAGCATGTTGCACGCGATAGTTTGAGGAAAAATCGTACTGTGTAAATCGGCATTGAAAAATATTACAAATTAAAACAAATAATTATCAAGAATAAATAGATAATAATAATTTACTTTATTAAGAGAGGGTGAGACGTTACAGTCTCAACTTAGCAGTTCTTATCGTATCTGAAAGACAATGGACCATCATTTGATGTAAATACACTCAATAAATCTGTAAACAAGTAGTAACATGTGGAGAATAGCACTTTCTGTGATATTGCCTTTTTTCGCGGTAACCTAGAAATAGTGCGTTCTGATTGGCTGCGCATACGAGCGATACTTTTTTTTGTCCGCGGTCCGTCATCCTGACGTAACGTACGTCATCCAGTTGCTTACATGGGAAAACGAATTGTTAAACGACAAAACAAGTTGAAAATAAGTATAAAAGTAAATGGAAGTGCCATGCTGTGCCGTGACAAAGCCCAGCAGTAAGCTGAGTATCAAGGTCAACAGATATCAGCCACAAGCTTGTCTGGACTGAACTGAATTCAAGCGTTGCACACTATGCATCTCTGCCTTAGTATCATTTGTTTGGGTTAGTATTATATTTATAACGTAATATTTAAAACGAAACCTTAAAAAAAAGAAACTATTTGATTAAAACACTTTGTCCCGAAAGGTATTATTGTCGTAATTATTTTGATAAAGAGCCATTCTGAAGCCAGTAATTGAGTCGTTTTTAGTGCGTGAAAGATGTTTTAAAAAGGAATTTAGCCTCATAATTACAATAATGACGAAGCCGTTCTGAAGCCCTGTTCATAAATATCCGCCTGTAAAAAGCCAAAGGGCACCAGGTCTTTCTTGACTACAGCAACCGATTATTTTACTGTTGAAGAAAAAATCTGTTCGTTTGCAATTATTTTTACTTGTGGTCGCTGCAAACCCAGACTCGTTCTAGAAGTTTGAAAAAAACACATAGTTAACTATGGAAAAATAAAGGGCAGCTGTGGGGGGCTGGCGTGGAAGGGCTTTTAGCCTTGCGTGACGTCATGTCAAGTATCTTGCACAGTCATCTTCAGTCACTCAAAGATCCGTAGAAGAAAACAAGTAAGCTCCACGGCCACCCTGGTTCTACACATGTAACATGAAGGTAAAACCATGAACTATCGATGGGAATATTATTTTAAGATTGCTTGACTTATTCGCCACATAGTATCGAGGTCAGTCCACAGTGACTCATCATTATGTAATGATTGAAGATCATAGTTGAACATGCATGATGAATCAAACTTGGACGTTGTGCTAATAGAATAGGTCATAAGATATCTAAATGTTTTTAGACGTTACACCAGTCTTCTTTCTGCAAAGATTACTATTGATATATTTAGCTCATTTTCTAGAGCTTTCGCGGCGTGAATGTTTGCTGTTTTCCACTAGTAATGTCAAGGCTTTGCTCGAAAAACCAAGCATTATATAAAGTTTGGCTGTTTGCCAAGTTTGATTGGCTTTGCAAGTTATGTAAGAGACTGCAAGACTACCTAAAAGACGCAGGACGACGTACATCATGTCCAAACCTAGCCTTGTACAGTATTAATAATATATGTTACTTGGTTCGTGATGTGTCTGAAGGTGGTGATATATGATTAAGTATCACTGTTTTAACAACAATTTAAATTGTTGTGTTGTAAGGCGATCAGCCGCCGTTCCGCCAGTTGGTTTAATGTTTTTTTTCCAGGTCTTAATATAATTGATTGTTATTCTAAACTGGTCACATTCTGGTCAATCTTTCTCGTGCGTCATCGTCTGCAAATTGAATCACTTATATAGACTGGCTATCTTTAACAAAATATTTTAGTATCCTGAATTTTTTCGTTTCTAGTTGCTCCTACAATTTTTAAGCCTTTTTTTAGTAAGATATTAACAACAGCACAACAGCTACTGAATGATCAGTATGTGGCCCAAGTATATCCTTGTCGACTCTATATTATGTATTCTTTATTTCCATTAGGGTTTAGGGTTTAGGGGTTTTTTAACTTTAGGGTTTGTTTATTTTATTTAGTTTTTCACTGCACTGTGTTTATTTAATCCCAAATGCTTAATATTTCTAGGCAACGCAATGATATATCAAATTTCACCGGCTTGTGTCACTTCTAATACCTGTCTTAAACTGAAAAACGTTCAAAAACATTAGTCCAATTAGTGTGTACTGTCAACTGTGCGTTCGTCGTAAAAGGTTCACTTCAAAACAAAAGTCGTATTGAAAAAAACATTTGAGGTGTAAAACATTTAGCATGCAAAAAATTGTATTGTTAAAGATATGTTGACTTAAGGATAATTTTTACATTCTGTGGAAGCGATTTCTGTATCCTCAGGTAACAAACAACAATTCAGCTCCAAGTATGTCATTCACAATTAATGATATTTTTTTGGGTCTGAAGAATTACCCCTCGATGCTCGTATTGTCTATTTTATTACGATGACGATGCAGAAGTGATTCTACAAAATAATGATTACAAATACATGATATATAAATGGTAATTCGTGATTAACATGCTATAATAGTCCCATTGAATCATAAAGTACTTACAACAAAGAAGTAATCAGGTCCTAAATGCTTATAAATGATATAAAAGAACGGTAACAATATGAACGTGTGTTCCTCGTGAGTCAACGATCGTTCGAGAATATCAGATGACCTCATGTCACCGTTTCCGGTGGCCTGATGTTAATGTTATTATGAGTGTCAAGTGACCGTAGACTCTTCAGGGTCTTTTGAGCGTACTGTTTTTTCTACAGGGAAAACTGTTTGTCTTGTCACATGCTCAGCAATGTTTCGTGATATCAAGTAGATCGATGTTCCGCCGGCTGAGGCTGCGTTTGCCTGACCGAGATCACTTTAGATGGTGCCATTGAGTTCGCATGATGTCTTGTTCTCTCGCTTGCCACGAGGGTTTTTTGGTTTTCCAGTTTTCATCCCTTCGCAAAAAGCATGTGACTTACCTAGTTTGCTGTATGAACTTTAAGTATGAAGATAAGATTTAGTATATGGATTGGCTGTGGAATAATACGTCATCCGTCAAGTCTACCGTGTATTTAAATAAAGATAGATTTCGCAACCAAATTTTTTGAAAAAAAAAAATAATCGAAAAATAGTCTTAATCAGAAGTCTTTTGGTTAGATTTTAATTTCTAATTTGAATAAAAGAATTTGTGCGCATGACACCAGATGGGGCATGTGACCGCTGGATCATTGTAGTGGTTATCACGGACACCTTGTGTGTTTAAATCTATGGTTTGCCACATTAGCCTTGTTTAACACCCACAAAACACACTCAGACAGAGAAAAGTTAAGGAGAGGGAAAGAGAGGGAAGGAATAAAGGGAAGAGAGAAGGGTGTATGTTCGATATCGGCTAGATATGCTCTTTTTCTCATTTGTTTTTTATATTTGTTTTTTCTTTTCTTTATTCTTTTCTTTTTTCTCCTTTTTCTTCTTTTCAAGTTCCAATTTGTTTTCTAATGGAGCCGGATATCTTGATATTCATACCATTTCTATCCGAGTCACATACTTCAGTCGAATCCAGTGAGAATCGCTTTGTATTATAAGGCAGTGGGAATCCTATTAAACCCTGACATTACTGATCTTTATGATAAAAGCCGAGCTGCTTTAGATTGGGTCTCCGCAATAAATACTAAATACGTATACGAAAAGCCTAGCAACGCTTCCGACAAGGGAGATTTGTGCGAGAGATTTTGCTCTACTGGATTAAAGTATAACTTTTTTCCAATCTCCTCCTTAAACCTTTCAGTAGATCTCACTGTAGTGCCATAAAAGTCATCGTAATGTCGGTTCTCTTTCTGAATAGGCTTTTTTTCGAGAGTCGCTAAGTGTGTCCTTACTAAATTTTGCTTTTGCTTTGTTACTTTCTAGTTCTTTATATTCAATATTTTCAACTTTTACTGTAGTTAAACGTGTGTTTAAATGATAATGATGATGATAATAATAATAATAATAAATAACTTTATTGACAATAATAATTAACTAATAATTCATTATAATATG